AGATAAGATAAAAAGGAGAAGAGGGTATTAGTAATAAAGGCGGCTGAGCTCCTCCATGTAGGAGGGCCTTGGCCTTTCAGTTTAAAAGGGAAAGAAGACTTATGCCTACTTCCATTAATACTCATTGGATGGCTATCCCTTAGCACCCTGGAATCTCTCCAACCAGATGATCATCTCCTCTTCCTGGGAATTTTATCTTTCTTCTCTCTAAAGGCTCTTCTTGCAGATTTTGCACAGATGGTTCCTCCTTATCATCCAGTTCCCTGCATAAAATATCATTTCTGCAATGTATCCTTTCCTGACAATTCAATAAAAAGTAGCTCCTCAAGATTTCAACTTGTTTTACTTCTAAATTATCTCTTATTATTACTGAATATTTTATTGTACGTTTTCATTGTTAATGGACTCCATACCCTATATCACCCATTTAGAATTTAAGCTAAATAACAAGAATCTCATCTGTATTGTTTACTCATATACATATGAGTAATAAGTGAACATAATAGGTGTTCAAAAATTTCATTGAATGGATACATGCATGAATGCATTTTCCTAGGTCAAGATGTGTGGCAGAAAAATAACTAATCCTTGGGAACTTCTGCTTTAATAGTGATAATAGCTAGTGTTTACCAAGGATGTGTGTAAATAAATTACGTGTATCTTGATTACTCTTCACAACACCACAATATAAGCACTGAAAAGAAAAATGAATGGCATCCTGACCAAATCTATCCTAGAGCCAAATAAGAGATGAGATCCATACTTAGATTCACTCCAGAGCAGTTATACTTCACTACTGTATATGCCTGGTTTCTGGTTACTTGCTGGACAAGTGCAACAGATGTTGTTCTTAGCTTCCTAGTATCCTACACACACCTGCAAGCAAATTTATTATACTATCTAGTGGAATCATTAATTAAAAATAAACATTACTAGGAAAAGCTCTGTATCTGGAGTGCTGAGACAAGAGGGAAATAGGCCCAATGGTCTCCTTAATGGAGAAACTTCATTAAGATGATGAAAACCACAGCATGAATAGCATTGCTAGAGTAAATGCAAGCATGGGTTTCTAGCATCTATAACACAAATCAATGTAAGTCGATTGCATTGATTCAAGTTGTGGTTCAGTGAAAGCACTTCAACAGAGTAAATGCAAAGATTTTAATAGTCTTGTTTAAGCCATTGATAAAATTTAAGTTGTATTGATCAATGAAAAGGATTCATGTTATTTGGGCTATCTTCCCTCAATATTATTTCTTTCCACTACTTTGCTGATTAATACTGGTTAGCAGAAATTGTAATATATATACTGTATGATAAGTAACAGACCACGGATAGTTGGTGTTGCTAATTAAGGACATAACCATAGATTTAAAAACATGCAAAATTTTGGCATCTTCTCAGAAGCTGAGATGTCTAACCAGAAATTTACTAACACAAGCTACCATTGTGCTCATGCAGAGAAGTACAAAAAAAAGTACCTATGGCCAATGTCTGGATTTTACTCAGAAAAAAAGTCTAGTTTTTTCCAATATATGAACAAAAGTCTGACTAAAAGGCCAACATCTTATCCTTAGTTATAACCCTGAATCATTTAAAAATAAGCACCCATAAAATATTTAACTTTCATCTGGGTGTAAAATGTACTCTTAGGTAACTAAATAATTGTTTGGCCTCTAATTCAAGGTCAGCAAAATGGCAAAGCATGTAGTTTGTAATGGTTGATTTTTAGCCCTTTGTTGCTGTCATTAGTACATGAGCTTCCATGACAACATATTACTGTGAGCAGTAGTTTCATTCTCTCCTCACAGACTAGTAAATTCAGCCCCAGAGACCACACTTAAATTACCAAAGTGACAGATGCCATGAATAGGAAACCTGAAATGCTGCACTGGACCTGAGGTGTAACCACTAAAACGTTCTGTCTCACTATTGGCAACTATATCACATAGAGGAAATTCATAGATTTTTGGAGCTCGAAAGAATCCTGGAGTCATTTGATTAGCTTTTTTCTTTTACAGAGGAACTGAAACAGAGTAAATAGTTGACTCAAGTCCATATCCTACTTCATGATAGAATTAAAATGGAACCATTCAAGTGTTTTTCCTAAATGGATGTTCTTTATATAAAAATCATCTTAAATTATGAAAACAAAGCATAAAAATGTATCACTTAATATTAAATACAATCATCCAATAATGCATATGAAGGATATTTCCCCACGTAAAAGGCCATCAAAGACAGAATAATGAAAGAGATGCAAACTGTCATCTCTTCAAACACTGACTGATCTGTGAATCCGCAGTGAGAAGCAGTTGGCCAGCCAACCACACCAGGTGGCATCTCTAGAGGCAGGACTGTCAACCCTTTATGCAACGGCACATTCTATTTTGGGATAAATTTGAAATTTCACAGGTTTTCCTGCTTATTTATTTATTTTTGTTTACTTAAACTAAACCCATATATTATTTTTTAAATGTTTCCCATATTGGGAACCTCCCTCAGATTCACAGATATCAAGTGTAAGCTCCCTTCTACCTGACGTCAGTTCATGTGTTTACAGAGAATCATCATCATCTCTAACATGTCCAAGTTTCATTGTCTCAAAACAAGGTAAACCCAGTTCTTGCAAAACTTCGAAGTCCCTCATTATCATGTTTGCATTATTGTGTATAGGGTAGTTTCCCTTGAATTTACTGATGTCCTTCTCTAGCTTGTGGACTCAGGTCACAGCTGGGGCATTCTGTCCAGAGTGCTGACCTACTCTATAGCTCTTCCCTGTCCCATATGTCTATGTAATGGCATCTATCATCTAATTGCACATTGGCCATCGCACTGGTGACATTTACCTTAACTGGAATATATGATTCTTTGCCTAATAGTAAATGTCTTCACTATATTCACAACTTATCTCACTCTTAACTAATATTGGTTTTAAAAATATTCTGATGGCTTTACAATGGAAAAAATAAATTTTGAAACCTCACCAAACGTTTTGAGGATGTGAAGTAGCAATAAGAAATAGGTAAGTAGTTCAGGACTGTGGGGATGAAAGAGCAACATTAACGTCTCCCTTTGTCGTTTTAGATAAGACTTGTCTGTAAAGGTAGGGAAGGAGCCAGGTAGGAAAGGTGGCTGAAAATGAAAGTGAAAACGAGCTCAGTTGTTAGAAAAAGGACTTGGAGGACAGGAGATCTGTCCATTTATTCTGCTTATGTTACATTCTGTAAACTTTTGTTAAAAACAAAGTTTTCATATGACTTTGACACTTTTTTAAGCATCCCTTCAAAATCAAATGAAATACTAATTTTCAATATAACCTTTAGTCATTTAATGAATTAATTGCATGTGTTTCATTTTTTGCCAGTAAAAATAAAATCACCTGTGTACTAGAAGTACATCTGACAAAAGTGCATCTCACAATCAGGGGTCAATTGTAGAACTTCACATAAATTCAAGCAAGAAAAAGAGGTAAATTTATCAGGATTACTCAAACTGGCTAAAAAAGCTATGAAAGAGCTTACTAAGAAATATTCAAAGAAGCAATTATATTTCACAGTGTCTTCAAATTATGTCAAATTTACCATATTTTAAGTGCCATTAAATGTTCTTTTTGATTGGAAGATCCCTGTGAATGATAGACACTTTTGTACTAAGCAAATGAGAAGTTTCCCTTAATTCTCTTCACGTGACTGACCATTCTTTCTCTATTATCTTATCCAAGTCAGCAAAATGGAGACCCTTGTAAAATGTGAGCCATATGCCTCCTCATGCAGTTCATGGTTTAAATTTCATCAGTGATGCCTTTATTTTCTTTAAAAAATTGACCAATTCAGTACATTTTGTACCTGTTTAATTTCTCTTTTATTACTTGATAAATACTTGTTTTTTCATCGAAATCTATAGTTCTGTGCATGGAGAGTGTCATTTACATTTGGACCTCAAAACACCACTCTAGACTGGTGTGTGTGTGTGTGTGTGTGTGTGTATGTGGGTAGAACATTCAAATAGAATTCATTCCTTCCTTGCTATTATCACTTGTCTGATAGACATGTGAAGAATGTTGGCAGCAGGCTTACGCCTTTTCTAGGAAAGAAATTGCTTTTCAGAAGAAACTGCTCTTTACTTCATGTTTTTGGTCTTCATGAGGGCACAAGAGATGCAGCCAGATATGTCTCCCTTTTGTTGCATTAAAGGAGGCCTTTCTTAACAGTTCCTAGCCAAGTCTTATCTTTCTGAACACTACTGCATTCCTAATTTCTCTCTCTGTCACTTTAGGTGGCAAAAAGAAGGCAGTGTTTGCAAAGTCTCAGTTTACTCCCTAGCAAGTGAAAAAAAAAAATCAAAAAGTAAAAACCTTATTGTGAGGCTTAGTAAATGCCCACCATCAGCAAAAGAGAAGGTAGAAAAACTAAGACTTTCCAAGAAAGAGAAAGTCACTCACATCACACATGAAAAGACAAGCCACTGAAGGATGTGAGGTAACTTCTATTCTTAAAGTTGTATTTTTTTAAAATATAGAGTAAACAAATGTTATCCCTTCCATAACTAATGAAAAAAAAGCTCAGAAATAACTCCCCTTTCACTTCAAATTAATAATAATATACATCCAATATCAATATCCATGTCATTAGTATTAATAAAGAAAATATCTTCAGCCATTAAACTTTATGTGTAACACTTGAACATGCTAATATGGTATTTAAAAGGAAAAAAAATCATGTCAAGCAAACAAAACTATACAGATGATCAGAAACATATCACATATATATGATAGTTTTACAGAGAAAAATATATAAGCCAAACAATAGATTATCAATATGCTAATAATTTCCCCCAGTCATTGTGGGGCTAACATATCAGAGGAAATACTTAATTAAATATAATATTAAATGAAAGAAAATTAAGTTCCTTCTTAATATAAAGAAAATAAGTATAAAGACACAAAATAGTATTTCATTTCATTCTGGAAATGCAATATGAATAAATTTGGTGTTTACCTCATGTGATCAAAACTCTATTAGACACTTTAGAAGCCCAAGCAGCTCATAACACAGCTTTCCAGTGCTACTCTTCAATTCCTATAAATAAAAGGAAGGTGAAAGAGTACTTTTAGAGCAACATATGTCTTTGAAAGATGATGCTGATTAGCTATGAAATGTTATCACCACTTCATGTTGCCATTTAAAAAGTGCCTCCCTCTGTATTCACAGTTTGTGTTAAATGTACAATATAGCAATGAAAATGATATCTATTTGGGACTCCCAGGTCACTAAAATAGACTCTGGATGATAAAATACTACTAAAAAATGAAACCACTCTATAAGCGTGTTATATTACTGGGAAAGGCTGTTATGCTATAAAAACTAAAGCATTGAAATTTAAATGTTTTCTTACTAATGCACATTACCAATATAATCATTTTTCAGTTGTAACACTGAGTTTTAGTAGTAGCAAGGGTCGGCTCCTTGTCCAGTGTTTACTGTTGACTTCTTCACCAGAGTTTACCGTGTATTCTTACCGCACATTCCATAATTTTCCTGAGGAAGCTTCACAAATGTGGCAAATGATAGTAATCCACTTGATAAGTTTGATAGGAATAATAAGGTATTTAAGTGGCTTCTACTTCTAGATAATATACACTAGATACAGTAAAAAAAATAATAACAAACTTCCTCAAGCTGTTTCAATTATGTGTGGAAGAAACTTGTTAAAATGATTATTTTCTCCCATCTACTTGATAAAAGAGACAAAACATTAGGCAAGATATGTAGGACTTTACTGCTGCCCAGTATTACTTCTCTATATTCCTCTTACCCGAGCACATATTATTTAGCTAGAAAGGAAACTATTACATTTCTCTCCTCCATCTCCCTCCCTCCAAGCCTCATTCATGTACCGTTAAATTCGGGCACAAATTTCACTGAACCAGCGCTATGGGCATCTGCCCCTCATCCACCATCCCTTTCTGAAACTCTGTAACGCATTAGGTGTCAAAGAAGATTAGGGTAGGAACAGAGATGATGGGGAAACAGTGCTCCTGAGAAGTATAATTTGTTAAGGCACATGTAGCAGGTTAGAACAGAAATGAATAAGTATCTTTTTATTCCATGTAAGAGTGATCATATGCAGGCATGATTTAAGGGCTGAATTCATACAAATTACATTACTAATTCACTATTTCTAAAAGCTGCTACCAAGAACTAAATCTATATAATACTTATATTATTTATATAAATGTTTTTATATTAGTACATATGCATAGTATACAGATGATAGAGAGAGAGAGAGAGAGAGAGAGAGAGAGAGAGAGAGAGATCCTTCACTATGTTCTTCTTTGGCTCTTTTGTCTATTCTTAAGTATTAGAATTCAGTTAGAAGAAAAGATACTTTACAGCCTAAAAAATTCTGTGTAGTGAAAAAACATGTCACATTAGATTCAAGGAAGACATAGAAGCTACATGTACATTAGGGAGAAACAAATTTTGAAAGAAAGCATCGAACATTTTTGGTCAGAGAGTATTGTAAAGTTCAAGAGAGGGGGACACTAGTCAGAAAAATATTGAAATATCAGGAATGACTGCAGAGTATTTTATTAATTTCTGGACATATTGCAGAACTATACTGTTTTTCTGAAAACACATACAAATCCAATACCTCATCCTCCTCTTACTCTGTATTCACAGTCATTTGCCTTGTTCTCATTTTGTTATTTATAATTCTATATTAAACAACCCTAAGCTTTTATTGACAGCTCACTGTGACAAGTGCTGTGATAGGTGATTTCATTTGTCTACTCATTTAATCAATGATATATATACGGTGGCACACTTTGCAGGCAACAGTCACTGTCTTACACAGTATATATCTCAGCATAAAAATCCTAAATTGGAAATTGCATGTTCCATTAAACAAAGTGCTGTTTCCAATTAATTATGTTTTAAGTTCCATATCTTTAATTTGCTTAAAAATGTTTAAAAATGTCTTAGGTGTTCACTGAATAATTTAAATTCACTGAATAATTTATATAGAATATAAAAATTATCAAAGAAAATCCATTATCTAGTTACCTGAAACTTACATCTTAGCATTCCAGTAGGGTGGGAGATGATTCTGTAATCTCACGAATCCTTTTTTTATGATCACATTTTAGTATTAGATTTATGACATCTTTAAAGAAGAAGGAATATGTATTATATCTCAACTCACATACTGGAATTTCCCAATTTTGCGGGAAGAAGATAATTTTAATTAAGACCAAATACGTTTGAGAGAGTTGAAAAGTAAGTTATGATTGCAAAGTAAATGGTATGATTGCAAAAGAAGTCACTAGATACAGGATTAGAGAAAGATTATTTCACTAAGTGGAAAAAAAAAGCTGGGAATGAAAAAGGTAGTGGAGAAAGGAGGGGAAATATGTTGATAATATCCATAAAAGTTTATGTGTCTGTAGGGTATTTCTTTCCTTTACTTTTCTTTCTTTTTTTGGGGGGGTAGGAGTGGAAGGAATACAGTTATGTAAAAATTCCCTCAGAGTTTGCTGGGTTATTAATGGAACACTGGAGGAAATTAATGCAAAGATGTAATTCCTATCACACAGAAAAGTAAATCAGTGGCTCCAATAACAGGTTATCACATTCTGTACCATATGGAAACAAGATGAGAAGACAGGCACAGTATAGTCTTAGATTTGGTGATGCATTCCTCTGAATTTGAGGAAATCCTTTATACCAAAATGATTCAGAAAGTAGCAAAAATCTATTAGTAATAGAATATATTGTTCAAAGGAAAAAGAGGGAAAGTATGAAAAAATCAGTTTTATAAGAACTGGTGGAAGTGGTTCAGGTGAGCTGGGATAAAACTCAGAACAAACAATTTGAGGAACTATGTCCTCAACATTTTGATTGGGGCACACAATTTGAGATAAGTGATAATGTCTAGAATACAAAAAAATGGGGACTTGATGAATGTGTATTTGCAAACATTTAGTAGACAGAAGACAGCCCAAGCCATATATAAAAATTTTAAAATCTACCCACATGCATAAGATATTAAATAAATTATACCTACAGCAAGCAGTGTACCTAATAAATCCTGAATGTCAACCTGAAAAAAATTCATAAAACATTCACAGAATTTTTTTACCTAAGGCCTATGAAAATTATGAGTTTTTCCCCCCAAGATTACATGGTTAATTACAAACAGAAATAAAACAATATTCAGGTCTTCTGGCTTCCAAGTCATCTCACTTTTCACTATATGATATTGCCTCCCTTCTTTCTAGTGTCTTCTATAATTAGATGATTATATATTATAATCCCAACCTTGTTTGCAACAGTAATAATATACTGATACACTAAGTGCAACATCGGATTAATGTGGCGATGTAAGTGCCATACATTTACCACAGGCCCTAGTACTTAGTGTGAAATTAAAATGGCAGCTATTACTGTTATTATTGTCTAAAAAATAAGAGAACTGGTGAAATATTAGTAAGAGGACAGTATAGTGGTGAAAAGAGAAAAAAATATTAAAGAGGATTGATGAACATGCTGTAATAATACTTTTAGTAGTATTAATACTTTAAAAATACAGTCATGGCTAATTTAATCCCTACTGGTGGTTTTAACTTCAAAGTTACGTGTATACAGATGTAGTTTATAAAGGAATGATTGTTCTTTAATTAACTTCTTTATACAATGAATATAATAATCTCTAAGGATAAACAATATTTTTAATTGATTCAAGCTGTTATAAGCATATATTTTAGGTTTATGGTGGTATGCTTGGGAGCATTTGAAGACAAAGGAAGAAAGTAAGTCTTTCGATGGAAAAATACATGCCTACATTGTGCGTATTTCCAGGTATAAATACCCTCTATTTATGAATGTATTTCTATCTTAAGTGCTTAGGAGGAAAAGTTTAAAAATCTTTGCTTTAAATGAAAAGGTAGACATTTTTATCATTTTCTATCTTTCTCAATGTTTTCTTTTGACTCCCATACTTTATTTCAAGTTGGGGCAAATGGGAACGGCTTTTTCAGAGGAAATACATAGTAAATGGCATCTTCTAAAAGGAAAGTAATCCTCTTTTTGGACTAATTTAATTTTTTATTGACTTTTATTAATTCTTAGTATACATTAGTCTGTGAGCTCTGTCCAACCTAATTCTCTATTGATATATTTAAGAATATATACACCAAAGTGATCTGTGTGTTACTTTCACACAAGGCCAGGTCTAGGGCATTAACACAGAGAAAATGATGTTGCAGTGCTTATGAAGGTGAAAAGTTACGAGCAATGAATCTCTTGGATGATCCCTTAAAGCAAATAACACAGCACCACTAAAGGAGCATGAAAGAAGTCTACAGTCTGTAACTTGAAATTCTGTCTGCATGTTGGAGAGTTCAGATTTTGGCTTAGAAAACTGGTCTACCCTACATTGGGGGAAGAGAATGTTTCATACACTCAGAAGACCAAATGTTTTGAATTATTATGCGGCATTTGAATCCTCATATTATTTTTTTCTTTTTAATCAGAGAATAGAAGAAAGAAGTGAAATAATCTGTCTACTATGTGCCTAGGTATGCTGCTTTAAAAACATTATTTAACATATTCAGCATTAAATAAATTATGTGAGATAGGTAGTACTGTCCCTTTGTATATATGGAACTGAGGGTTTGAAAGTGATGCAATAATTTCCTCAAGATCACAGTCCTGTCTATTATATAACACTCCTTCCAAGGTATTAACTACAGATAGTTTTGGTCATGAGACTAGTTAGAACAAATGTTATACTTAATATGAGGGTACTTAATAAAACTTGAAACCTGTAATCAGAGCAGTTGACTGGAACTGGATTTTTTATGTGTTTCATTATGAACATTCTAGGATTATTAAATAAAAGTGAAGCTCTGAATAAAAGTCCCTTTCTGTTTGTTGTTTTGGTATTTGTTTAAAAGGATGGTTATTAAAATGCAATGCAGTCTGTTTTGCTAGTTAATATTAAATTTTAGACTTACACTAGAAATTTTATTAAGATTTATAAAAATATAATATCCAGTATATTAAACAAGGTGTTT